TTCACTTGCAGATATTCTCTGATTTGAAAGCTCAAATTTTGGCTTCACAGGTAAAATATTTACTTTATTCATTGTCATAACCATCCTTTTCCTTTTAATTTTTAAACAAAATGCTGTTAGTGTCTACCTGGTTATATAACTATTTATTTAAAGAGTGATGCTATTTTGTTAAGAAAATTGTACAAGTTTCAAGAATACCCAGTTATTTGATTTGTAGTTTTCACCATTGGGTCCCAAATTAAGATCATGATCCAATGACTCACAATTTTCTTGAAGCTTATTCTGAATCTTATTTCTTGTCAAATATCACGTCTCTATTTTAAAGAGGGGGGAGATTTTGTTTTCAGTTTGTATGTGTTACAGTTATACTGTGTTTTATTTAAAGCTTGTTCAACTCCATTTGGGTAGAACTAAAATAATGCATCAAAGCTAGACAGCGATTCATCGCACACAGCTAATACCTGCCCTCCTCAATGGACCAGTCTCTGAGACCCCTCACCGAAGAAATACACATAATAAGAAGAAATGCTACTTTCCGAGTTATTTTGGTATGCTAATGAGCCCATGAGATACATGATACATTTGACTATCATGCGCTGCTAATTTTATTTACTCAAAAGCACGAGGTATATAAGCCAAGTTTTTTTAGTTCTAGTACTAGTGTAATATTTGTGTCATCTATATGAATCAATGTTGAACAATTTTATTTCTGTTTTTGTATGATTTTTCATCGGTCTCAAACTCATCTTTTTTTTAATGATGTTATTTTAGAGCCAAAGAGTTGCATGTTTGTTGAGATACTTAGTTAAGCGTCCTTTTTATGGATATTCAAGCAATTGCATAAGGAACTTGGTTTTCTAGTCAGTAGTTACAAGGGCCATTCTTTCTGAATGAAACTCGAATTTAGGATTACTTTTAAATAGGTTTCTAAGATTGAAAAAACGAGCACTTGGATTTTCTTTTTCATGTTTCTAAAATTGGAATATGTATCCCTTGCGGCGACAGTTAATTACTAATTTGATACCGTGAGGGCCTCAATATATCGTTTATGAAGGGTGAATATACCTTTCAGGCTAGGATATCAGCAAGTACAGAAGCCCTTTGGCATTGAACCAATTATTTTACATTTCCCAACTCTATTCTTGATTCGGCCAGACCTTGACCGTATCAATCTGAAGCAATCGCTGGGGCTCCTAATATTTTTCTCATTATGTGAACATCTTTGTGCATGGTTTGTTTGGAAAATTACAGACTCTTCTTTTTGTTTCCTTCCTTTCTGCTGACATTAATCTGTTAACATTCAGATAGAATGAAATAGAATGCAATTTTTGGTATATTTGTTGGATGCTTGTGATGTATTGTCTGTTTGTTCTTGATTCTTGTTTTTTGTTTACACAGCCTGAATGAAATGAATGGGAGAAAAAATGGTTAGTGACACTTTTTTTGTTTGTGATTTGCTGAACTTGAATGAAATGGGGTGTGTTTGAGCTGACTAGTTGACAAATGTTCATATATGCACTCCACAAGCAAAAGTTGGTGTTTCTTTGTTTGATGATGGTTCTTAATGTTATTCTATTAGTGTTGTCTACCTTTGAGGTCATGCGTCAAAGAGACATTTTACTTGGACATAATTATAGGATATGGTCTTAAAACATTGTCTTCCCCTTTATGTCATTTCCTTTGTGCTAATACAAAATTGGCTGACATAACAGCATTCAGTACACTGCTTGATGAATATCCTTGTAAAATTTCCATTTGAGGTAAAAACTGCCGATGGGGGCCACAAATTGTAGCCTCCGGAGACCAAGTTATATAGCATTTGTTCTGAACATGAATTGTATTCTTACTTTTCCTGGAAATCGAGAGATAAAGCAGATTGAACTTTGAAGAGTCAATTTGCTGTTTTACTCGCATCATTTTGGAAGTTGGGTTATTCATTCAATAGCTGTACTGGATTTTGATTGTGCGAAGTGCAAGTTAGGCAATACATAAATTGTAACACCTGCTGTTCTGTCAAAGTTGTTCATGACTTAAGGAACTAGTTTCTCTAAATTTTTCATGGACCCTAGTGTTTCTGCAGAGTCCTGCTCTTTGATTTGCATTTGTCAGACAGATAAAATTGCTCAAGGAAACCCCATACAATATAGAAAACTTTCCAGGCAGGTAAACAAGTTGACAGGGAGTTAGATTCCAAATAGCGTTGCTGTTATGTAAATGTAATTTGTTACAGATCAAATTTATACTGAAAATTGTCACCTGAAGTAGAAGCAATGAAGAAGATTTTCTCTTGGCACTTCAGTTAGTTATTTGCTTTGGTGCATGTTCTGTTAATTGAACATTCAAATTTATGTTTGACAGGGCTTAGAAGCTGGTAAAACGCCTCTTATTACTTCTGTGCAGTTTTGATTAATGTTTTTGACAAATGATTGATTACCTGTCAGCCACAACTCTTCATAGTTTCTGGTGATCAGGTGTTGATGAATTATTGAACTCGTTTAGTTTCATATTGTAAACATAACTGAAAAAAAGAAAAGAACAAAAATGATGGTTTATACGATTTGTTTTAGTTTCACAGAACTCCTGCCCCCAGAGTTGTCTATCATGAGTAATTTGGAGGTTGCATTTTGTTGTGGGGTTTGAGCTTGAACAGTTGAAACTACTGTAAATTAATGGCGCTTTTCTAGCACCCATTATACTGCCTCCTGTTTCCAATATGTGATCCCTATGCTTACACTTTCTTTGCATCATCTTGCAGCCAGTGGATCAACATCAGCGGCTTGCCCTTTGTTTTGACAAACTGATGGCAGATGTTACTCGAAGCTTGGATTCGAAGAACAGGGATAAATTTACTCAGAATCTGACGGTTTTCAGGCATGAATTTCGTGTCAAATAGCTCTGATCTCTTGCTTGTTGCTGCTTTGCTTTGGGAACTGAATTGCGTCTGCAGAAGATTTTCATTTGAAGAATTTCCATGCACATACTTCATACACAGTTGTACACAGAAACGAGTGGTTTTGTTGCTTATTGACAAGAGATGTTACCTCTGCAGTACTTAGACTTTGTTGTCCAAGCCAGGTGAAGCAAATATCTTGTATAACCAAGTATCTGCTACGAAGGTGGAGTATAAAAAATTTTTGTACAGGCCCTGCCTCCCTCTCTAAAAAAGTTTCAAGGGGGATGATATTGGAAATTAAGATAGCGCACTATGCTTAGGGGGTTAGCAAAGGTGTGCAGAAGGTGGTGCTGGTTTGATAGATAATTTTAGGGTATTGATCCTTTTTAGAACAGATGTTCTTTCACGAGGTTTACTTGGTGTTTTGGAGGAGGGTCGGTTGGAAATAGATTTTTTTGTACATTAACCCCAACATATTCATTGTATTTGTCGATAATAGAATGGGAAAGGGTTTGAAATTTCAATCTTTCTTGGTTTCCCTTCCTACCATAGAAGTTGTCTTTTAGCACGAGAAGTCATAGTAAGCCTGGTAAGCTACTGATTTTTCAAGATTTCTACATTTTGTGTTTCTGTCATTTATGTATACTGTTACTATGGCGCAGGGGTTCAAGCTCTGGAAATGTGTTCAGCATCCATTCTTTTATGGCTGCTAGCTGATTGCCACTATGTAATTGCTTCCGTGGAAGACAATTTGCTTCTTTTGTTGGTTTCATTTTTCGTGTTTTTTTTTTTTTTCTTGGGGGGCGGGATGTGATGTGGGTGGTTCTATTTTTCCCTTAAAGTCCTCGTTTTCGATTTTTAAGTTCTTGTACATGCAATTTTGAGCTGTCACGTCGCCTGGTGATCCATGTAAACCCTCACTGATGGAGCATACTTGTGGCGAAAAATATAGTGGATGTTAATGTATGAACGCACCGTCATGCTGTTGGGTTAGATCATAGGTGGGTTGGTGTTACTTACTTGAGATCGAATCCAATCAGTCAGGGGAATCGTGATCCTAAAGAATATTGGAGACCCTGGACCGTCAACCAAAAGAGCGCACTTCTACATAGTTTCCCCCCTCGCTCTCTCGGTTTATAACAGATTGAATTAAAACACGCCTCTAGAAAGCAATTTTACAAGGCTCGGGCCTGATCTAGCAGGTGAACTCGAGGCTTGATGAGTGAAAAAATCAGATTTTTTTTTGTCAAATGTCATGCTTTAAATAATGTCTTTTCCTGATTATTTTTTTTTAACAAATAAAGCTCGGCCCCACAATCCAAGTGATTCCTGGTCGGGTTTTAGAGCAACTTTAACAAATATCATGAAAGCGAAAAATAAAAATATATATATTATTTTAGATTTGTTTATTTTATAGGCTCCAAGAGCAATGCTACATAAAATGTCAAAATGCTTTTTTTATTTTCAAAAATACTATTTCTATATATCTCCTAAAAAAGCCATAAAAAAATAAAACAATTAAATACCAACTTCTAAAAAAAATAACATTAAACTCATTGAAAAAAAAAATTATCTCTCATTCCAATATAATTAGATTTTCAAATGATTTTTTTTTTATTGAAATATACGTGGTAAAAAATACCCTTTAGGAGATGCACTTATACGGGAGACTTCCATGCAAGGCTTTCCAGAGCTGGGCAGTACAAGACGGTGCAAGACTAGAAATTATTACGATCCGTACAGGACAGACAAAGCTCAACATATTATTCAGACCCGGTGCTTCTAGCTACAGACAAATGTTTTGATTACTCCAGAATGATATTTATGTTACCATAGATAAAGGATCAAGAATTTACGATAGCATTGACAAACGTAGTTAGTTAGCGGTAGTACAAAGCCTGTAAAAAATCTTCGAAGCACAAACAAGCAAATTTGAGTTCAACGGAAGTCAATAAATCTGGTTGCGTACAAAAATATTAGGTGTATTCCATTAGCATGACAGTGACAGTGAAGATAAATCTGGTTGCGTACAAAAATATTAGCATGACCCTAGTAATTTATTTCTGTTCACAAGGAAAAATACATGTAAACAAAGCTTAGCACAGAGTGGAACAACCATCAGAAGCAGTGATCACCTGATCCAAGACCATAAGGCAAAGCGTGCATGAATTCGCATGAAGACCACATGCAGGTAACAGTGACACTTACAGGCACTACTTGAGTGATGCTAAATCCAAGTAGGTACATGTGGAAAAGAGATGAAGTGGGATAAGCTCACCTCCCATGCTCCAAGGGACCAGGTAATGTCGCCTCTCGGAAAGCCTTTGAATCTATGGAATGTGCTTATTACAAATGAAATTAACTTTGCATATATACAGGAAAAAAAAAAAAGATTTATCTTTGTTTTGATTGATTCGCTTCTGCAGGATATCAGACTCAAGGAAGTTCAATCAGACTGTTTCTCCGCAAGTTGATTCTTAAGAAATTCCAGCACGGAAAGGCGCTGCGATTGGAAGCTAATTATCAGTCATTTGTTTAGGATTTAGATTCCAGATAATTATGATAGTTAACAGTTTACTTTGAAAGCATACCCGTTGCTCAAGACCAGCTTCTTCTGGTTTTAATGTCAAGGATTCCAATAATTTTATGGCCTCATGAAATCTATCACGTGCAGTGTCCTCGTTACCAATACTCCTGTCTGCATCGGCAACTTTTGCAAGGGAAACAGCTACATCCAGGCTCTGTAATTGAAAGACAAATAGAGAACATTCATTACAAAGGAAGCCTGGAAGTACAAAACTTCTCAAACAAGCATGATCACAAATATTGTTTATCACATCATTGTGCATTAAATAGCAAGACAGACAAGTACAGGGTGCTGAGTTGGAGAAACTCGGAAGCATTTAAAAAACAAAAATCAATACAAGCTTAAAAAAATAAACTAAAAGTTACTTTTCCTACCAGGCCTCATTTCCTGTTCTTTTTTTTAAGCAGGCCAGCTTGCAGAGAAAAATGCTATTTATAGTAGTATCATGAAAATATTGTCATGGAAATTCTCAAAACTGGGAAGCCGTGGCCCCTCATTGCTATACAAGAGATCACAGAACATATCACAAGTACATTTATACCTCAAATCATAGAGCATGTGAAATGACAATAACAAGAGTGATGGTGTGTGCTGGAAAAACAAGTACATCTATACCTCAAGTCATAGAGCATGTGAAATGACAATAACAAGAGTGATGGTGTGTGCTGGAAAAAAAAAAAAACGGTTGCTGACCTGGGATGAAACACTAGGATGATGTTTGATGGCATCACATCGCACATTGAGAGAACGCATATAGTAAGATCTTGCAGCCTCCAGATCTCCATCATAATATTTGAGATCTCCAATTTTATTAAGTGAAACAGAATGCGTATGCGTTATCTACAGGGGGAGAATATCAAAAAAATTATAGTTGGCATGGCAAAAGCACGCATTGAATAAAAGGCAGCAATACTTGTAAAATTTTAACCTCCAGATCAGCTGCAGACAATTTTGATAGGAATTCTACACTCTCTTCGAAGTATGTAACCGCAGAGCCAGCATCCCCCACTGCTCGACTGCAATAGACATAATAGGTCGAGAATTTAGTAAACTCATCAGGACTCAAAATCCATTACTTTGAAAGAAGACAATGAACCCATAGTAATGTTTTAAGAAATCAGCAAAAAAGCACCGGTTTTAGAATAGATAGCCTCTAATATCTAGGTTGCACATCCTTAAAGCTATTCTTTAAAACATAAGCTTCCTTTGTCTACTCAAGGATGTGAGAATCTTTTGAGTGTACTTACGATATTCAAAACTAGCAATTCCTAGTTCATTGGTGCAAACAATGTTGCTGATGTTAGTCCAGCAACATGCCAGCAACCTCAACAATTTCATCAATGCAAGCCATGGTGCAAAGTGGCATTGCAATAATATTTCAGCAAACTTTAATCAACTTGTCCATCACATCATTGTTTCTGGAAAATGAAAGGCCACTGTTTGATGCTACAAAGTTAGCTCTTTAGGAATACTTGGATAACAGCTCTGTGACTAGGTTGACAGCACAACCAATGGATGGAACACTGGTAGTAAATGTATATTGCTCGATCACTTCATCCTCTATTGAAAGTGCGAGGGTTCCACAACTTCTTTCGAGGAAAATGAGATAGAAGATTTCAGAAACATATTTTCATCATGTGAAGAATGTCCTTACGTAACGTAAATATCTTGTCTACAAGCAAGAACTTAATCTAAATAATTTGATGATAATCAAGAAAAAACAAAAATCTAAATAAATATATGATCATGTTACAAAAAAACTTTTCTTCACCTGCCCCGTTTCTTTTTCAATTTTTCCACTCAATTCAACAACATCTTAATACCAAAGCAGAATTATTTTTCCTTTAGCTTTGTCCCAAACTAGCTGGAATTGGCTAAAGGAATACTTTATCTCAATTCACTAGCCAGATTCATATGTTGCTGTTTAATCTTTTCAGTCTACCATTGTCCTCAGATCATCACAAGCTTACTAAAGAAAAAGAGAGTTAACAGACCAGCAGTCCCCAAGCATTCCCAGCACTGCTCCAAGCTGCGAACACAATTCCGTTGTGTTGCCCACTGTTTCTATCCGACCTCGGATGTCTTCTGCACAAAGACTAAGTCTTGATTTTGCACTTTCCACATTCTGTGCTCGAAATGCCTGCACGTGAAAGCCAAAAAAATAGAAAAATCAACTATAAATTACAACAACAACTTACCAGACACCAACCACGCACATAAAAGATAGTTAAGAATAAGTTGGAGAAAAAAAAGAGGAAAACAAATGAGAAGTTTACGAGAAGCTTTCTGCTAGTATAGAATACCTTGATAATTTTGATGAGATAACCATAGCCAAAAAAATAAAATAACAACGTTGACCTAGAAACGACACCCATCAAAAGAAAAATAGAAACGCATCAATGCCATGATAATAAACTACACTGACCCTCATGGCTTGTTGCACCAAGAAAGCACCCCTCTCCAAAGAAACATCCTCGTATATCACTTTTTTATTCTCACCTACTTCCCCCTCTTTATCCATGTCAACATGAGACCTCTTGATTCTAGCATGACCATCAATGAACCGATCAACTACACTCTGTAGATCCGTGTCAGCTTCAATCTTCTCAACATCAGCTCCGCACAGCGGACAGTCCTTAAATCGCGAAATACAAACTCTAATCCAATAAAAATAAACCAATTCACAAATTGCCTTAGACCACAAACAAAAGCAAACAAATTAAAAATCTATCATGGAGTTTGATTCTATCATTTCTATCATCTCCTTACTTGCAATACACATGAGAGCACGGCACGCATTTGCTACAATCAAAGAGAAGAGCTTGGCATATCATACAACTAAGAGGTCCCAATTTAAATGTCTGAGAATCATATCCAAAAGGGCATTTCGGCGAAACGGTAGCAGATTCACCACTAGACTCTTTCTTAGCCTTTCCTCCTCCTTCATGCTCAGCCCCGTGTTTAATCGGACATTCCCCTGGTTTTCTTGGTGACCCATCATCAGGTCTTGAAGCTTTCACAAATGGGCAAACTGGGGTCATCTTGGTAAATCAAAATCTGCATCAAATTCACAGAAATAAAACATGGCTTTCATCCAAATCGAATCCAAGCATCTAAAAACTTAACAACTTCCAACATAAGGAGATTTTGCAAATTTTGAAAGAAAAATAAAGGGAAAGAAGGAAAGAGAAATTAAATACCGGAGTTGCCAGTGACACCAGAGCTTATGAATATTTCTTCTGGTTGTCTTGAGAATAGGAATGGAAGACGTCAGCTTCGTTTATTTATCACAAGTAAAAACAAACTACAAATCAGTATTTAAATATCGGACATTGTTATGTTTTAGTGTTAGAACTTTCAAAAATTACAATTATACCATCAACAACTTTTGATAAGGGAGATTTATCCGATGAAATTTTTAGCAAAATAGAAAGTGAGGTTTGAGATTGAATTACATATTTTATTGTAAAATGAATTTTTTTAAAAAAATCAAGTCAGATTTGAGAACAATCACAAAGCATCTCCAGCGGTGTTTTTTCACAAATGAACGGAGATAAGGATTACATTGTTTGGTTATAGGATGATAAGTTGTGTACTTTAAGGACTGGATTGGAATAATGCTTATAGTTCGGAGACTAGCTTATAACTATACCCAATAGCAATATATTCCCATCTTTGGCCCATTTTACGGTTAAAAAAGCATTCTTATCCCTTTATTATATAGTAAATTTCGTCAAATCAATCTTTCCACTTCAAATTTTGTCAAACAAAACTCTGTATATTCAATTAAATGCAATTCAAGACTCTGTATATTCAATTAAATGCAATTTAAGCACCTTCATAAAAAATTTCTCATCGATTGAATTGCTATATGATATTATTGTGATGATATAAGTGTGAGGACCGTCCTTAATGGAAGGGGTAAAACAAGTCGATGAGACCAAAATTTAGAGAAAATGGATTAATTTGATCAAATTTACAAAGTGGAGGTATCACATTTGAATTTTAGTTATTTCGCGGGGACACGTGACTGGCCAAGGAAACGAGTGTGGTGGTTTCTGGGTCACAACGAGATGGATGGCTTAGGAAGCGTGACCAGCAGTGACATCTGTCATATAAAGCATCTGTGCTCGCGTGAATCAGACGAGTGATTAATTCGACACGTGGCAGGGTTTGTTTGTTTTGGGCTGTAAGTCATGAGCTGGATTATTTTGTAGTGCGCCTGCCCCGAGTTTTACTTAAATGGGCCTTTTCAAGTATCTCCACCTTTGAGCTTACTTTTATCTGTTTCATAATCTACTGGGCTCGGGCTTTGGCTCTCATAAACTCTCTGCTGCTTCCGGACAAGAATTAAAACTGGAAGAGCTCTTAATTCTCGACATGTATCGTGTGTTTTGGTGCTACGATACGGTGTTTTTATAAAATATTTTTTATTTAAAATTATATTAAAAAAAAATTAATTTTAATATTATCATATTAAAACTATTAAAAAATACTAAAAAAAATATTGAATTAATATCTTTTGAAGTAAAGCAAAAGTTATCATTCTTTAAAATACTCACACTCATGTTTGATATTAATACACAAGTATTTTTTTAAAATATTTTTCTTCTTCTGAGTTTTTAAAATATCAAGGACAATGAATGCTGTGGACAGTGACTTGTAAATCAATTTATTACGTGAGGCTAAAAGGTTTGCATACATTTAATGCTCATGCATTCTATTTCGTTTGATCACAGTAGATTAGGAATGGTTATCTTGGATAGATTAACTAAAAAATTATTTAGTGTTGCTGAATTATAGGTTATATATTAATATTTATAATATTTTTGTATTTTAATGATAATAATAAATAATAAATTGATTAATAATATGAATGAGATTAATTTTAATCATGTTTTATATAAAGAGAAAAGTTTATTATTAAATATTTATATCTTACTTAATAGCATACTAAAATAAATTCAGACACTTCATACACTTCGTATTGTATGCATAAATATTATTAGAATATATTTAATTTGTTTAAGTTTTTTCAAGTTTAAAACTATGAAAATTGATTTTTAAACTAAACTGATCAACCATTTAAACATATCAAATGAATTGATCCACTTTATTTATTCACGATGAACACCTAAAATTTCTATAGGACCTAGTCAACTAAATAATCACTTCAAATGTCAAAGGTATTCTAATAGCTATAGATATCTAATGACTATAAATGATCAGTTTTTTTGGAAATGTATATATATTTCTATTTTATACAAAATAAAAAAGAGATTATGAATATATATGATATAAAAGCTATTTCAAAATAAAAATCAACTATAAATCATTAATCCTTACATATTCTAAGCTATGCTGAATTAAATTTTTATATTTTGAACATACATGATATAAAAATTATTTCAAAAATATTATCGAGTGAGCTGTAGATATTATAGTTTATAATTGTATAATTTATTTTTTAAGAGAGTGAATTTTTTTGTAAATAAATCATAATTGTAAACACATGAGAGTTTAAATAAACTTTTGGCATTGATGAAATATTGTCAATAAGAAAAAAATCTTCAAAAGGAGACATTTTTAGATGGTGATTTCACCGTATCATTGGATTCATCTCGATATTTTTTATTTTTATGGCGTGTGTATAGTGGCTGGGTTTGGTCTGATACTAATTTGCTTCTTTTTTTTCATTTTTTTTTAGATTAAATGCTGGTCATGCAAAAAATTATACTAACCATTCAATTTTTTTATCTTTTGATTCATTTTTTCTTCTCTTAATTATAATTGTTTTATTTACATTTATTTATTTCTAATTAGATTTTATTTTTAATTTCAGTCTTGGTGGTTTAATTTTTTTAATTTATTTTTAATTTCAGTCTTGGTGGTTTGATTTTTTTTAATCAAATTTAGTTTTTATTCTTTTAATTACTATTTTTTTAATTATTTTTTTAATTAATTTGTTTTTTTTAATTCCATCTCTAAACATTCAATTCTCATTTAATTTATATGTGAAATTTAATCATATTTTTTTAAAAAAATTGTAACCTCCGACGAAACACAAGTTAGATGGCAAGTGTTATATATCATCTAAAGATACGAACCGTTCTAATACAATCCAATATCTTGCCCGAATTCATGGCTACTCAGAGATATAACATGCCCATTTCAATCCACCCGTGACCCGAGCCCATGAGAAAAGGAAAGTTGTGGAGTACTCATTGGAGGCAGATCCATACACAAGACTGATGTATGCCATGGAGCATAGATTGAACCCTCCTGGTTAAACCTGTATTACTAATTAAAATGAACCGTGAAACACCTAACCAATCGATGATCACAGGGTCAAATACTAAAGCCTAAAGGCTAAAAGCTGCCTCTTGTTAATTAATTTATACAAAGGCTGCAGCCATATGATTGAGAGGCTACAGCCACTGGGGCAAGCAAGCTTATGCTAACCACTTCATACAACCCCATATATATATATATATATATAAGAAAAGGAAAGGAAAAAAAATCATGGAGTGAAGAAGAAGAAGAGTGCAGCAGATATACATCATTAGTAGCCTTAAAAAATCGTAAAGAAGAAGAAGAAAATGAGGAAAAGGGGAGAGGGAATAAAGAGGAAAACCAGCACATGAATGGCATCTGTAGGATAAAAATGGTGTTTATGCCCCCCTTCTCTCTAGCAAAGGAGAGGTGCTTCCTTGTTTTTTAAGCATATGATTCACTTTTCTCGTCACATTCTATAATAAACTATAATTAATATGTGGGGGAGCTAATGCTTTCCAGTGTGTTAAAAATACGTTTCATTTAAATAATCCTTTTAATAATTTTAATATAAAATAATTATTTCCATACCACGTACATTTACAATTGGCTAGGTTTTCTTTTTTTTTTTTAAAAAAAATAAATTTCATTTGTCATGGAATTAAGAAACAAAAATTGTAGGTTGCAATCCCAACTTGATCTGATTAATTTTATATTATATTAATTGATATCCTGCTAGAATTCATCTATGCATGCATCATGTGTATCGAACTAGACAAGAGAACAGTTATAAACTAGCTGGCACAATTGTTCCCCTCGTGAACTACTGTGAACTAGAAAATAATTGTGATTACACTGATCAAAACTATGTGGTTAATTAATTGATATGGTGTCATCTGAAGCTATGTTGGCGGCAGCCCTACGCGGCCGTCTCGATCAATTATTTTTTTTAATAAGAAAAAAAAGTAGTTTTTTGGGATGTGATGAATTTAATTTAATAATACGATTTTATAAGCACAACAGTGAATAAATCAAACAAAAAACAACAATAATTAATTATAAAAATTAAATTACTAATATCATACTTAAAAAAAAGGAAAGTAAAGCACGTTAAAAACTCACCATGCTCCGCCATGAACATTGTCTTACCCCCTTAAAGATATCATTGAGGCATCTCTAATATGATTGTAAAGGGTTGCACGATGACACTAAATAATCATATCATCTCTGATAATCGGTCTAATGATTTTTCAGAAATTATATAAAATCATCATTACACCTTAGAATCCGCAATACAATTCTATGTGGTGATTCACTATTCTTTTAATTTGTTTTTCTATACAATTTTAGTTTTAATTATATCTGGTTTCCATGCAATAATTTGTGAACAATATAAGTAGTTTTTGATTGTTGTTTTGATACATACATACATATATATATATATACATATATATATATAGAAGTTACGAATTCATTTTAAAACTTCCTCAAAATGTGTTCCCGTAATCAAATACATTTCTATTTTTTTTTTATGTTTTTGTTTTTGTTTTTTTCGTATTCTAGCATACTAATCAATGCAAGTATAAAGATGTGTAGGGAAATCACTTACCGCCACCAAGATTGCATCGGTTGCAAATTTGCAATTGTAAGTGACAATTTTCCTGAAACAATAAAATATATGTGTGTAAATCATCCATTCTGCCTCTCAATAATTGTTAGATGCATGATTTTGTTTCTTAATTATTTGTGTTGAAACCTAAGATTTCTGGGTAATTTGGTTTTTGCTAAGACATTGCTGGCCTACCAAGCACCATTCGCCAATGAAGCTTCATGAGTTGGTTGGTTATACATAAAAGCAAACAAATAACATTTATAATTAGATAAAAAAGCACAAATAATTATATCTGTATGTATTATAATAAAATGCATAGAAAATTCAGGAAAGAGCAATCAAAGATGCTCTTACACCTCTCACTGCAAGCTTCCTCTGGTGAAAAAGCTCCCTCCCTTGCATTTAGCCTACAAACGGGTGGTGGGATATGCCACTCTTTTCATTCTCCCCCATTTTTCTTGCCATCCCATCTTTCATGGCTTCTCTTCTGCATCATCTCTTTTTTCTCTCTGCACTCTGCCTTCTCATCATCAGCTCCACTGCATCAAATCAACTTCCTCAGGTAATTTTATGTATCACGTATACTTCTCAAAACACCATTACATTAGTGACCCTTTTTTGTGTTTTCACAAGAGATAATCTATGTTCTTTGAGTCTTGACAGCATTATGTGGTTTATATGGGGAGTTCATCAAGTGGAAATGGAGGAGAAGCTCCCGAGATTGCAGAGGCAGATCATTTGCAGCTGCTGTCCTCCATTATACCAAGGTTACCATACATCTCATCATCATAATCCATCATTACATAGCAATGGTTTCAAGGGCTTGATACTTGGAATTTAATGTGCTTTTTGGCAGCCATGAGAGTGAAAGAATATCGCTAATCCGTCATTATAGCCATGCCTTCAAGGGCTTCTCTGCCATGCTTACAGAGAATGAAGCCTCTCTATTAGCTGGTAATGCTGTCTTGTTTTATTTCGTTGTTCCATTTGATATTCTGTCTTGTGTTTAGTTTAGAGCTTATGCTTGTCTTTTATGCTTCAAATAATAACAATACAACTAGTAAGTTAAAAGAAAGAATAAATAAAAATAAAACCCTTTGATCCTAGAACATGTTTATGGTCTAAAAAGCATAATTGCTTCGTAAAAAAAAATAGTTGTGAATTTGACAAACTTGGATTTTTTTCTTAAATTTCCAGCCGAATTTGCTTTTTGAAAATATTGATTTTACTATGAATTCATTTTATTTTACTTGATTATGTTTATATTGGATTTGAGTTTACTAAAACAATTGAATCATGAGTTTAACCTATTGGGTTGTTCAAGTTTGGTATTATCAATATTAAAATCAATTTAAATTAAAAATAAATCTAAATAAAGCTTTGGATCATGAATTTGTTGGATCCACCAATATTACAGGTTCAATAAGTTCAAGTTCAATAACTACGTGGAAACATAATACACCAATTAAATTTAAATTTCATAAACTTAACTAATAAAAAAATTAAAAAGTGTCCGCTTTCGTAATTTTTTATTTTTTAATATTAAATTAATTAACAATTAAATTTTTTATTTTTTTTATTTTTTATAATATTATTTCAATCTCAAGATTTAAATAATATTTTTTTATTTATAAGTATCGGTATATACATATATATATATATTTTATAATTAAAAATATTTTTGTCAATTTGTTTTTTTTGTTTAAACCTACGTATTGATTTGTTTTTTTCTAACAAGCGCGGGTCTATCTATTTGTCGAGCTGCAAGGGCTAATATAAAAACCAATTAGATTCTAAATTACACGCTCCTTTAAAAATAAAAATAAAAAATCAAGACATTTTTTTCTATCGGGCTTGAGAGAAGAAACTCCGAACGAGCTCTAAATACGGGTCCATAAGCACATGCAACTCAACTTGTTCATCAACCCAAAACCCTCCCTATCTTCACTAAACCCCTTACCCGCCATTAATCCACCAGGCACCCCCCCTCGCTCTGTCCCTGTCCGCCTATCTGATCTCATCTTTGCTTCGAAGTTCCAACAACAAAGTGAAAAAGATGGCCACGAATATGTCCTCCACGAGAAACCTCATTTCTTTTGTACAAAAACGTTTTCTATTAACATCATCAGCAGCAACGATAACACTTTCTCCCAACTCTCCACTACCCACTACTACTAGTTGTAGCTCCTCCTCCTCTTCTTCTACGGCCCGATTCCTCGTCAACTCATGCGGTCTTTCTCTGCAATCTGCTCTTTCAGTTTCTAAAAAGTTCCAAATCCATAGAATGATCTCCATAAGCCCCGATCTGTTGTCCAATTCATGAAAGCTCATGGCTTTAGCGAGACCCACTTGGCCAAATTGATCCAAAGTCGGCCAGGAGTTCTCCATTGCAGAGTAGAAGGTAATCTCAAACCCAAATTTGTATTTCTCAGAGAAAATGGGGTTGTGGGTCAGCTTCTGCCAGAGCTCATTTTATCAAATACTCATATTTTAAGAAGGGGTTTAGATTCTCAAATTAAACCATGTTTTGAGTTTTTAAAGTCTGTTCTTGGTTGCAATGAGAACGTTTTGGTGGCTCTTAAACATTCTTCTTGGCTGTTGACGTTGCGTTTGAAGGGCCAACCAAATTATAATTTGTTGATAGAAGAGGGAGTGGCTGTCTATAGGATTGCTAAACTGATTATGATGGACCCAAGAGCCATACAGAATAAGCGTGATAAAATGATTTATACAGTCAGTGCTCTCAAGGATTTAGGCCTTGAACCAAACCAAATGCTCCTGTTTTTATACACGCTCTTAGAGCGATGTTATCTATCAGTGAATCGACTCGGAAGAAGAAAATTGAGGTGCTGAAGAGTTTGGGTTGGAGTGAGAAGGATATTTGGCATGCCTTTAAGCGACATCCTCTTCTCTTGGGATACTCAGAGGAGAAAATCAGGGCTGGGATGGATTTTTTTGTGAATACATTGAAGTTGGGATTGCAACATGTGATTGCCTGCCCCCAGCTTCTTACTTATTCTATTGATAAAAGGTTGCTTCCCAGGTATAATGTTTTAAAGATTTTGGAGTCAAAGAAGCTGATTAAAAAGGATTTGAAGATTAAGAATTTGCTTAAAATAAATGAGAAGGAATTCTTGAAGAATTATGTTTACAAGTATGTGGACGATATTCCAGGGTTATTGGATGTATATGGAGGAGCCGACAAAGCAAAAAAGATACACACTTGATGACGGAGAAGTAAGTTTTGTTGTCCAATGCACAATGTGATTTAATTCTCGATTGCTCTCAGCCTTCTTAATCAGAGATAGCGTTGTGGTTAGTCGTTCCAGTTTACATAACTTAATTTTTTAGGAGTATTGTGAGTTCATTTCTTATCCATATGGGTGTTGATTTCTATTGAGCCACTGTCACAGGTTCCTTAACAACCATTCCTGGTTCTTGATCATCCCTATCGTAAGTATTTTTTGTCACCCCTTAGCGTTTTATCTCACTGCGTCGATGTGGAAGCTCAAGAAAGCTCTGTTTATATCAAGGATCATCAATGTCCTCAATAATTAAATATTCATGTTCAAACAGCCCCTGAAGGGATTTCCTACAGTTTTCTGATTTGTGAGCAAATGGTTGCTGTCAATTTTTTTATCCATTCCAGAGTATACAACTGAATCAGGGAATCATTAGATGATTTTTAGGGATTCTGTAAAGAAATTTTGATTTTAGTGTCGAAGCATAAGAGGAGGCTAAAAAACGAATCAGTTGCTGTACTCTGCTTGGCTGATAAGCTTATAGGGGTTCTTGGAGTCAGTTTCTATATAATTATCTAATCTAGTATGAAGTAAGTACAAAATTTTCATTACAATAAGCCATTGTTATAGCAGGAAGTAAAGAAACTGGCACCAAGTGCTTTTAAGGTCTTTTTTTGTCAGGGGATCTCTCTTCAAGATCAATCATTTTATGTACCAGATATTGCTTTACACTTTGAAGTGCTTTTAAGGGTTTTTGGTTTAAATTTTGTTACTAAAAGCATTATTATGCCATGAGGGCAATGAATACATTCTAAAAGAAGGCTGCTTTTTTTGGGTCTAGAAAAGTACTGTTTTCAACTATCTCACCCCTGCTTTCAGATGAGAATAAAAGCATTGTTTTGTCAGTTGGATTGCCAATTTTTACAATCCAATGCATGCATAGTCGCAATCCCTAGACCAGAAAAAAAAACTCAGTTTAAGATGCAGGAACTCTGATTATGGCTCCCTTCTAGTGATCCAGTAACTACAAATAGACTGAACAGAGATCAATTGATTCTGAAAACAGGCCATGGTGGTATAGTATCCATCTTCCGGGATCCAATTCTTCAACTTCACACTACACGTTCATGGGATTTCCTGGAGGCAGCATCAGGCATGCAATACAAGCACGAGCATCCTCCTATGTCAAGTGATGTCATAATTGGGATGATAGACACAGGTAACTGCAATTCACTTATGTTTCTCATACTACCTAGTTCAATGGCCCTGCATGAATGAAAGCCACCTCGAGAACTTGCTTCAAATTTCAGTTGCATTCACATGCACACACATATTTATTCCAGAAATACGTCAATATGGTTCATCCCTTTATTTGTGCTAACCTCGTATCACAAAATTTATAACTCACTCTTGTAGCACAAAAAACAAGAATGGCTGTTCACGTGAATCATTGTTTTGATGAACTACTTTGATGGAAGTCACCTTATATATTTACTCATTGAGTTTATATTTCAATTGTCTTTTGTGATTGAACACCCAGGACGCTGTTATTTTACACTTCAGCATCAATAAGAATAGTTATCTTCATGGGGGAAGGCCACCTGCCATATTATAACTAAAAGCTCAATGGTCCTCCAAGTAAACAAAACATGGTCTTTTTTTTTTAATGGTTCAGGGTTTGGAGGATTGAAATTCCAAGGACTTCAACTTTTAAAACCTCACCTCATGCCTTGCTCCTTTACGTGGGGCTGGTTCTGAGTTCAATTCTTTATGAGGGTGTGTATTAATTTTGAAAGAGGGGAGGCTACAAAATTCAGTGAGCCTTTCGATGAATTGGAAAGGCATTATACAAGGATATAAATTTTTTCAATTATAAATTGAGCATCTAAATTGTATGTCAATAGAAGTTATTGGAATAATTAGAAGTTTTCTGTTAGCTCAAATAATTTGTCTCCCATCATTTTGTACAAAGCTTTTTGTTGTGTCTTGCTGCGACTGAGTCTTATCCAAGGGCATATTGTTAAACTTCAGATTTTTTTTAGAATATTACACATGTTCTTTGCTGTAGGGATATGGCCTGAGTCGCCAAGTTTCAATGATGATGGAATTGGGGAAATCCCTTCAAGATGGAAAGGAGTTTGCATGGAAGGATATGACTTCAAGAAATCCAATTGCAATAGGTGATTATGTCTTTTTCGTTATAAAGTAAGAGAAGGACAATATGCACATATGCAAATACATGTTTGTGTAGATGCCTCCATTAATAGAATAGCTTTTATCTATGTTGTATACTCATCCAGTTTTTTTATATCAGAGAGCAAGTACATTTTTCTTAAACAGTCATAGCAATATGCCTCAAGTCTAAAATCTTTAGCTAAATACAAACCTAACCCTGAGACAAGCCCAAGTGATGATTTCCGCTTGCTTTTAAATTTAATCTATGGTGCAGAATTCTTATCTTCTGGTCTGTATGTCTGTAGGAAGTTGATAGGAGCAAGATACTATGACTCCATCCAAAGGACATACAGTAATAACAAGACCCACATGGCTAAACCAGATGACTCACCAAGGGACTTTGATGGCCATGGTACTCACACCACATCCATTGCAGCTGGTGCTAAAGTTGCTAATGTTAGTTACCATGACTTAGCTGGAGGCACAGCTAGGGGTGGCTCACCTTCATCTAGAATAGCAATATACAAAGCATGCACATTAGATGGTTGTTCTGGTTCCACCATATTGAAGGCAATTGATGATGCAATTAAGGATGGAGTTGATATAATCTCCATTTCTATTGGGATGAGCTCGCTCTTTCAATCTGATTACCTAAATGACCCCATAGCAATTGGTTCATTTCATGCACAACAAACGAATATCATGGTAGTATGCTCTGGAGGAAATGATGGGCCTGATCTTTACACAATTGTCAATTCAGCTCCTTGGATCTTTACAGTTGCAGCTTCTAATATTGATAGAGATTTCCAATCTACTGTGCTGCTTGGAAATGGGAAGACTTTCCAAGTAAGATATTGATTTGTTGATTCTTTTAATGTTGTCCTATATTAAGATCTGTTATATTCATAATTCTTCTCTCTTCCTCTGTATTCTTTTTGGAATGAATTCGTGTCTTTACAATCCTTTTGCTTAAGGGGTCTGCCATCAGTTTCTCAAACTTCAATCGCTCAAGAAATTATCCTCTCGCATTTGGAGAGGATGTTGCTGCTAAGTTTACTCCAATATCAGAAGCTAGGTATTATCAAGAAGTGATACTTATGATAATGATAAAAGTCATGTATTGTATAAAGTGAATTAATTTTCACTAAAATGCAGGAATTGCTACCCAGGATCATTAGATACACAGAAAGTTGAGGGCAAGATTGTTGTATGCACAGATAATGATTTAAATATTCCACGGCAAATCAAGAAATTAGTCGTGGAAGATGCTAGAGCCAAAGGGTTGATTTTACTCAGTGAGGATGAGACAGTTGTTCCTTTTGATTCAGGCACGTTTCCATTTGCAGAAGTTGGAAATCTTTCAGGGTTGCAGATTATTAAATACATCAATGGTACCAAGTAAGCACCACTGATATAATTTCAAATTTTGTACCTTGTTTAGTCTATCCTATTTCAGCTTGGATGCATAATAAGGAACATGGTTCTATTCTTAACGCTTGCTATCCTAAATGTTTGTAAGATCTGATTTTGTCTTCTGTGATAACACAAAATAACCATCAAGACATCAACTAAACTAGCTGAAACTCACGTTGCCTCTTTCTTCCTTATTCTCCCTTCTTACATGTCTTTAATATGATCACCAAGTGCCATGCAGGAAACATACATCCCATATAGATCCCTTTCTTCTGGTCAAGCCTTTCTAACCAGGGCAGTGTTTATGGATAAGATACGCTCATAATCTGAAACTGATCCCTTTTTCTGGAGATCTGACCTCTTGGTCGTCCTGGTTCTTGTTTATTCCTACTTCGTGCTTGTCTTATCCATCCATTTCAAGTAATTAATCAAGATACTCCTCTCAGTAATAGACATAATAGTACCTAGTTTTCGTTTAATACTCTTCAATATATACGAAAACTTCAGAAACAATTACTTTTTGTGAGATTCTTAACATCCTAAAAAAGGTGTGAGGCGCATGCCCTACATACCAGTTAAGAAACTTGTCCAAGAACTTCATAGATGGATTTGCTCTCTTCTCTGTCCCTGTACAGAAAGCCTACTGCAACCATCCTTCCTGCCCGTGATGTTCCTCGATATAGACCAGCTCCAACTGTTGCATATTTCTCTTCCAGAGGACCTGGGCAATATACAGAAAACATTCTTAAGGTTAGCTTCTGTAATACATTAGAAATCAGGTGCTGTTTTATTAGCGAACAACTTAGTTAATCATTAACACTGATTGGGAATTCAGCCCGATATAATGGCTCCAGGAGTTGCCATTTTGGCTGCCATGATACCTGAAAAAGAAGCAGGGAGTGTTCCTGTTGGAAATAAGCCATCTGGATATGCCATAAAGTCTGGTACATCAATGGCTTGCCCTCATGTGACAGGGGCTGCAGCATTCATTAAGTCTTTTCATCATGGGTGGAGTGCTTCTATGATCAAATCTGCACTTATGACAACAGGTACTTTTGAAGGTAGAATTTCATAAAGATGGATCAAATGCACACACTCACAGATTGTAACTAGGGCTTGGGGAATACAGAAGGGGATTTTAGCTTGACGGCACCCCATGGTAAAATAACGTTTCTACTGTATGAATTTGGTTTTATATACTTCATATTTTTTTTAGCGGGGAGGGGATTGAATGATGCTTTTGATTGTACATATGTTCCTTTTCATGTTATTATTGTTTAATATCTAAATGGTCCTGTGTTCATATATTAACTTCCACCATCATGCACTACAAGTGCTCGCATTGATCTCTTCCTCTGTTCTCTTTGCAGCAACCATTTATGATAATATGGGGAAACCCTTACAAAACAGCTCACATCACTTAGCGAATGCCCATGAAGTGGGGGTTGGAGAAATAAACCCACTCAAAGCTCTTAATCCAGGATTAGTTTTTGAAACAACCACAGAAGATTATTTGCAATTCCTTTGTTATCATGGATATTCAGAGAAAAACATAAGATCTATGTCCAAGACAAACTTCAACTGCCCCAGAATCAGTATTGACAGACTCATCTCCAATATCAACTATCCATCGATCTCCATCAGTAACCTAGATCGACATAAGCCTGCTCAGACCATCAAAAGAACTGTGACTAATGTGGGATGTCCAAATGCCACATACATTTCCAGAGTGCATGCTCCTGTGGGTTTAGAGGTGAAGGTTTTCCCAAAGAAGATTGCTTTTATCGAAGGGTTAACAAGGGTTTCCTTCAAAGTCTTATTCTATGGCAAGGAGGCTTCCAGTGGCTACAATTTTGGGTCCGTAACATGGTTTGATGGTCGACATTCTGTCCTCCTGTCATTTGCAGTGAGCGTAGAATAACATAACAAAATAACGTACTAGCATTGAACAAAGATACCATTCATTTTGAAGTTAACACACACGACTCACTCATAAGGTTGTAGATACACGTTGATGTTCATACTGTTGTGTCCAATGCCGGAACCCTTGTTGTATGGTTGGAGTTAATTACTGCAAACCACCAGAATAGGAACATTCATAGATACATTCATCAATTAATGCCTGTCCAAGACTTTTCTTTCTTTGAACATCATGGCATGTGCAAATATTATTATCCAATGTGTCTGCTATTTGGACTACGGTTGCTTATGCAATAATAGTCATAATTACTTCAATTTATACGTACTAAATAAAAGGATACCCATGTTTAATGCATGCTAGAAGCAATTATTTCTGCTTCCCGTGATTGCTGCTCCACTATTATGAGAAAGTAAACGTTTTTAGAAGGCCTAAAATATTGACCACGTGTGGGAATGCTCTCTGTATTTCATGGATTAGGCTTTAGAGGTCCTTGATCACCTAAAACAACATTGCTTTGTTCCTATCTCCGATAAGTACATGCAGATGATCAGATGGCGAGAGCATCAATTCAATGGTGATTTCGGCTGCCTGTTGTTATTCACAAGCTTTCTTCAACCCACACGCTTGCTTTGTTAGACTGTTTTAATTTATTAATTCTATCTTCAATTTTTTTCTATAATATTGAATTAATTAGAAATTTAGATTTTTAATTTACTTTTTAAAAAGATTATCCTGTAATTTTTGCTTGTTAACCCAAAATAACCGAGGTTGATGCAAAGCCTTTCCTTCCTAATGGTAGATAACAATTTGGTCTTTATAGAACTGATTTTAAATTCATATATCTTCAAACTCTAATGTTTTGGATAAATATTCATCATCTATCACAGAAGCAATGTTTCTTTATGCTTTTTGTCCCCACTTGGCTAGGAAGAAATTAAAGAATAAAAATAACAGCAACCAAACAAGCATCCCGTCATTTTTTAATAAATCAAAAACAACTTTATTTTGCAATTAGGTTCTAGTTTAGTGGTGGAAGGGGCTTTTTCTCTTTTTCCATACTTGGATTCGAACCTTATCATGCATATTTGTCACCCCCGCGGTGCTTTACTTTACCTGCACACTAGGTTTACAGGATGTTTAGTGGACCATGTGGATTAGTCGTGGTGCGCATAAGCTGACCCAGACACCCCATGTAAATCAAAAAAAAAAAACAACTTTGTTCAGGAAGACAGAGCAGAGTTTGACGCTCACCTTCTTGAACAAGGACCAACAAAAACCAATTTATTCAAAGCTATAAAAAGAAAGCAATTCGATCCCCCACAAGTGAGCTAATTAACCGCACCCTTTTCCCCAGAAGGATTATTTTCAGAGCAGAAAAAGAAAAGGAAAATACATAATGAATGACAAAGAAGCAAGGAGCAGAATCAGCAAAAGTTGCGAGAGGTCACTAAGCAGCTTGCGAGATTATTCAGATACTTTGAAGGATAAGCCAGAGTCAGCCAACTTTTCTTCCACTATCTTCAAAAAACATTCTGCCATGGAAGGACTTAGAACAGTGCACCAATCTCCCACCTTTGCTTTCCTAAAGAAGGTACTGTTTGGAGCTCCAGCGCTTTCAAAGAAACCAGTTCTGTTCACTTCCAAATCCTTGAGATTGTCAAAGCTGCACAGCTTTGATATTTCTTCAATGACACCTTCTTTCTCTTCTTTCTCAGAGAAAGGCAATCCCAGGAACTCTGCTAGTTTCTTCAAGTTAAAAGTTATATCCTCTTTCAAGTCTTCATATTTCAAAAACAGCACCTTGCCTGGTCTTTCCAAACTTGCTTTCCAGTACCCCAACACGCTATCCCAAAAGGGTCCATAACTCTGGATACCAAGACAAACGTTGTCGAAACCTTCATCGATCGATGATAAAGGCTTGACATTCTCTCGTTTGAACTTGCGAGCAAAATCAAAATAAGAGACAACTTGATCCAAAGGATTCCTGCATATGTAAACAATCTTGCAACCAGAATCTCTAATGGACTGTGGCAAGGTTCCGTAATGGGAGTGAGAACTGAAAATCCTTGGGGAAGGAAGTTGTTTGAGATCTGGGAGCTGTTTTTTTGAGTAAAGGTCCATCTCAAAGAAACGAACGAGTTCATGAGGTGGGGTAGTGAGTAAGGGAGTCTCTTTGGGACTGTAAATGTTGCGGTTTACCACAGAGAACGTGAGAGCTTTTAACCAGGTGGTGCCTGATTTTGGCATGCTCGCTAGTATTATATCTGTGTCCTGTGCAATGAAATGTTGTTGAAAGGAAAGAGCCCCTCTAATGGAGAAAAATGGATACCAGACCCCTTTATAGAAATAAAGGGGACATCCATCCCAGTTTTTCTCACTAGGAAAGCTTGCAACCAAGCCTTGAATATCATCTTTTACCTCGCCTTCTCCGTTCGAAGAGATTGTGGTCGTCTCCATGAAGATAACGAAGGAGAAATGGTGCGGTGAGCAGGGAATGGTACAAAGGAGCCCAGTGCCCCTAAAGCTAGCTCTCCATGCATTTATGAAGCCGAATCAGTGTACTTGTACATGTCTCTTTATCACTCATTAAAATAATAATAAAAAAAGAGTATTTTTTACATTAAAAGGCAAAAACCTTTTGTAGCCTGTTGAGAAAAGGAAGGAAGTCACAATTAAAAATTTTGTTGACGCTAAAATATATGTTGAAAATACATCACTTTATTAGTTTCTTAAATTAATCAGATATATCATTATTTTAATATTTTAAAATTAATAATATGTGCTCTTTGAAATCTTAAAAAGAAATTCACTGCTGAAAAAACATTTCTTGTGATGAAAGGCAGCCTAGAGCACATCACAAGTAATCCATCTAATAACAATTGAGCATGCTCGTTAGATATTAAAGCCGTCTTAAATAAATTTTTAGCTTACTGTAATTATTTTTTAAAGTATTTTTTATTTAAAAATATATGTTAATAATATTTTTTATTTTTTAAAATTAAAAAAAATAAAATAATTTAAAAATACTAAAAATATATTAATTCAAAATAAAAAGTCATTTTCCTTATCTCTTCTCCTGCCATGCAGTCCACAGGATGTAATCGTTTGATCAGAACACGTGACTTTCCACGTCTACGAAGAAACACCAAAATAAGTGGGGGACACTATCACGTGGTGTTGGGTAATGGTTATTTTATAGAATATATTTTTATAAAATATTATTTAAAATACAATTCTTAAACACATCTTAGTCAAATAATAATAATAAATCTCTAACCACCAGACCACTCTCTTATTATTGTGTTTAAATCTGATTTGAGCTGTTAAAAAATTGATTTGTAATTTAAATTTTAATAAATAAAGAATTAACTCGACATGAAGTAATAAAAAATTTAAGAAACTTTCAACCTTAATAAGACGCAATCTTGGCTATTTCTAGAGGCTTTTGAAAATATATTATAAATGTATTAAACAAAAGTACTGAAACAGCTTCTTATAAAATTACAGGGACCACAAGACCGTTTTTAGGACATCAGAGTGGTTTATTGGATTGAGGGTCGCTCGTGGGGCCCGCCCATGAATGAGGCCTGGCCTCGGTTTCCGGTGAAGTAACTTTTATCTCCCGCCTTTTCTTTTACCTGCCCTGTTGAGAAAACATAAAGACCAAAATAACCTTCGAGATTTTCCCTAGTTGAAGAACAAACGAGATAGAGATGCAGCAAAAGACCCACCTGAGGAGCAATTCTTGGAGATCTTCTTCTGCCAGTGGGGGGTTTTTTATGGCAACAAGTGGAGCGATGGAAGACGGGGAACTCAAGGGACTAATGAAAATGTCTAATTCCCGCACATTTATTTATAGACAGGAAAAAGAGGACCGTCGCCTGAAACCAACGCCATTCACGGAGAACAGTTGAGATCTCCCGGAGTTGAAGAGGAAGGAGGGGGAAGATGACATGCGGTGGCTCTAGGAAACGCTGCGTTTTATTTTTCTTTTATGCAGATAGCTAGTATTGCCACCTACCTTCTTCTTCTTCTTCTTCTTCTTACTAAAGAAAGGCCGTTGCTTTTTTGTTTTTTTAATTCTCCTTTTAAATTTCTGAAGTTCTTTCTACTCTCCATTTTAAATTACTTCTCCCACGTTGAGTTTAATCCCCTTCTCCCTTGTCAATTTCAGCCCCAGTTTCTTTTCTTATTTTAAACCCTAAACAAAAATCATTGTTTATTTCGTATTATTGAGATTTTAGAGACGATGACATTGCAAGCTATCACAAATAATAAATAAAAATAAAAATTCACACTAAAATTTACACTTTGAAAAAACTAAATAGGATCTGCAATCCTGAGCTGATTTTGAGTTACGAAAATCATAACCAATCAACATGCTTACGCTTAAATCAAATCGGACAAATTTCATCACGGCCCACGTTCAATAAATTACACAACAAAAATCATTCGAGATAAACAATTTAGCGCATAAGAGATTCGAAAGCAAACTTCGGGAGCTACGGAGGTCGACTAGTTCTGGTGAGGCCTGGCCTCGGTTTCTGGTGAAGCAACTTTTATCTCCCGCCTTTTTTTTTTACCTGCTCTGTTAAAAATACACAAACACCAAAATATCCTTCAAGATTTTCCTTAGTTCGAGAACAAAGATACTGCAAAAGACCAATCTTTTATCATCTTCTTACTGGAAAACTTCTGGTCGGGAGTGATAAAAAAAAACAAAGCCTTTTTTCTTATTATTAGAAAAAACCTTGTAAAAACTGACATTGGAATAAAAATTAAACAAAACAATGAAGGTTTAATTAGCACCCATGCCAGATTCCATGAAGTCTTGAGATCCAAGATCTTAATTTTTAGTTAAGAAAACAACGAGGGTTCACTGAACAATAATAGATATCCACGCTCACAAAAACACTAGGGAATTAAGGAGAACGCATCCCATAGATTTGCACTTCATTGAGATGTTCTGAAGGTTAAACCAGATCCACTCAACTTCTCTTCCACGACCTTCAGGTAATTCTTGTTAATTTGGTTGCCATTTCATGTAAGGCACCAACCATTTACCATTGACTATTGATTAGTACTTAAAAGTGCGTTTTTATCATGGTTTTATATCATCATTTTGCATTTGAAGTATCAATAACTCCTTAACTAAAATATGTTTTATAATAATGTATCTAATAAGATAAGATACCTATAATTTGTGGTAAATGTCTATTTTTAATGCAGGTCTATCACATAAATGAAAGGATTGATTGATGACTTGAAGAACTTAAATTGCATGGATAAAGAGATGGTCAAACTTAGAGAAGAGATGTCGGTGCAATCCAAACCAGAACACTGTTCGGTAATTGGGTTATATCTGGAGCTACAGATCTCAGATTTAGGTCCAATTTATATGGATGGAAAGGTAAAACATAGGCCTACAACTTTCATATGGAGCCCAAGATCTAAAAAGGCCATTATCAAGTCCAAATTGTAGCAACAACAAAGAAGCCCGAATTTGTCTTCCAGCCCGAGCACTGTTCGGTATTTTGGCCATATATGGAGTTCTAGAAGTCCAAATGAGCTGAATTTTTTACACAAGAAAGCTGAGACAATTGCCTACAACTTTCATGTTTGCAACTGGCTCCAGTTTTGACGTTATCAATGACGTTTTGGGCAGACAAGAGAAGATAAGGATTGTCACCAAGTCAAAAGTTGGCCACCCACTTATCAATTAGTCATCAAATCAATAGTTCCCAAATTTGGCCTATAAAAGGAGGCATTTGCCATGCATTTAGGCATCTTGGTTTCCAGATCAAGATCATGCTTTTCCTTTCTCTCTTTGTATTTTTTGTCATGTTTATGCTTTGCTTTCATTAATATTAAGTTTATGCCTTTCATTTCCTTTCCTTTACTTAGTTAACTTTTATGTTGTTATTTTGTTTATCTATTTTGCTTTCTTTCATTATGTCTAGCTAAGTTAGTTATGTCAAGGTGAAAAGGTTACACTAATGGTGTAAGAATAAGTATAATGTAAACTTAATATGGACTTTAATGTTTGATACTAACATGTTTTATATTTGTTATCTTGTTTACTCTTTAATACTTTGCTTGTTAAATGACTAATCTTGATTTATGTTGTATAACACTTGGTACAACAAATGCTTGGCACTTTCATAGCCCATAATGTATGGTATAACCGACACCTGAGCTATGAAAGGAACTTGATTTGTTGTTAACATAAGTTATAATCATGAATGCTTGACGAGATTTACAAGTATTAGCATTAATTGAATAAGATGACTAATGTAATCATGTTAACAATATATAATCTGATTGGAACCTCCTTTGTGTGTGGTTTCCAATTCAATAATAAGAGTTTATACTATACTTGTTTGATATACCATTAGTGGAACCTCTAACCTTGACATTTGTTATTATTTTTGCTTAATCCTTACATTAATATTCCATCTTAAAGTTCTCATCATCATCTTCTTCTTCTCTTTCTTTACTATTATTATTATTATTATTATTACTACTACTACTACTACTATTATTAGTACTACTATTATTATTATTATTATTATTATTATTATTATTATTATTACTAATACTATTATTATTA